TTTAGGGTTTATGGCTTAGGGTTTAGGGTTTGGGGTTTGGGGTTTGGGGTTTAGGGTTTAGGGTTTAGGGCTTTCGGTTTAGGGTTTTCGGTTTAGAGGTTCAGAGATCCAGAGAGACACGGACACAAAGGCAAAGATGGAGATAGATACCACAAAGACAGCATTCCTACTTCCGACAAATCATGTACGATGTGCGTATGTCGGCATGATGTTGTAGGTCTTGCAATGTGTGGTTCCATTCACTTGCTCGTATTCGCGCAAGCAGCACTTGAGCATGTAATCATCACCACACAGGCGTACGTGGTGCGCATGCTGAAGATTAGGTTTGGCGTCCGACTTGCTGCCAAGCCCTAAACCCTAAACCCGAAACCCTAGACCCTAAACCCTAAACCCTAAACCCTAACCCCTAACCCCTAAACCCTAAGCCCTAAACCCTAAACCCTAAACCCTAAACCCTAAACCCTAAACCCTAAACCCTAAACCCTAAACCCAAACCCCAAACCCTAAACCCTAAACCTTAAACCTTAAACCCTAAACTCAAACCCTCCAACGCGACGACCATGCCTTCACTCCGCGGAGTTTGGGCGGCTTCGGGGGGAGTTGGAAGGAGTTACTGGCTGGTTCTTCGTAGGGAATGAGAGGATGAGGTACCCTATATCCCCCATTTTATCGACGAATTAAGGGATTCTATAGGGCACCCCTCACTCCGGGCCTGGGCATCCGTGTCTTTGTAGATCTTCGCCACCTTCTTCAGTTGCTTCTCGACCTTCTCCCCGGCCTCCGTCAGCCGGTGAATCTCTAAGCGATGCGTGGAACCCAAGCTAAAGCGGATTTTCCAGACCTTGAAGTGCGTCAACGCTGAACTTCCGGAGCATCATTTTCAGGGAGTCCCATACCCTAACCCTGCAAACACCCAACACTTTGGGGCTTCGATATACTCAGCAAGTCGCTGTGGGACACTTACAGCTTTGTTTCCCTGGGGTGTCTTTCTGCAGGTCTAAGGGCCTTCTTTCGAGTTCGCAAACCGCCAGTAAGATAATAGCCTGGATGAGAGCATGATGAAGTCGTTTCTACAGGCGGTGTCTACCTCATGGTCCGATGTCTTTTACGCCTTGCTTCTGACTGCGCAAGGGGTGCTACAAGCCAAGGATATGTCAACTTGTGCTTCTAGCAGATAACCTGCTGAGTCCTGAAGGTAGCCGTCAGGAGAATGAGAGGGCTTGTTCGTTCTTTCAACTGGTTTTATGTACCTCCCTCATACACTCGCTTCAAGTGTACACCGACTAGTGGACAACGTATTGCCAGAAAGTGTATCAAACAGCGAAAGTAGCATGAGCATCATCGTCATCGTCATCATAACCAACAAAATATTCTTCTTTTTCGATCATCCTCGTCGTCATCATCCCCATCCCCATCCTCATCATCCCCAGCATCTGCTTCTTCTTCCAACGCAGTAGAGAGGTCCGAGTCCCTACTAGCGAGCGCCTTCAATATCGGGCTATTGCCGATATCGGCTGCTCGAGGCAGCAATGACACTAATGCCCTTAGAGGCAGAGGAGCGCGCCTAAGCGCCTGGCTATGAGCTATGAGCTCAAAGCAGCTACTCGTCCAGTGTATCCAAATCACATCATCCCCAGCATCCCCATCATCATCATCATCATCACCACCTTAGGTTTATGCGCGGACTTGATGAGGCTGCCCATCTCCAGTCCCGCAAGTGAGCAGCAACCACCGCACCAGTGCTGCCATTCATGAATGGATGGGAAAGAACCGAACCCCGGGCGTCCGCGCACAGGCACATGCACCACACAAGCCGGAGCTGCAGGCACCCTCCGCGTATTGCATTTCTAGTACACAAAGTGACGACCGTCACACGAAGACCGCGACCCCGACAAGGCGATTCTTGTGAGCGTTGGCACCGTCGACATGCAGGCACACTTCCAGTTTCGAGGATGGGCAGTCCCCTAAACCCTAAACCCTAAACCCTAAACCCTAAACCCTCATTCCTGTGGCTCTTGGCGCCTCTCGACACACCAACCCAACAACCCCCTGAAACCTGGGGCCTGGATCTGCCGCTGCATGGTTTTGCTGGCAAGCTGAAGTTGAAGCAACTCCTGGCAGTGTTCTGGGTGGGGAAGATGGAAGAGAGGCGAGAGAATTCAGGCCATCTCGGTGTAACCTCATCATCCACTATTTGCTTAAGAAGCCCAAAAAGACTAAAAATCAAGAAGGGAAGACGGCAGGGAGGCAAGAAAAAGGTTGAGGGACTTGTCTGGCTGGTGCTTAGCAGGGAATGAGGGAAGTAGGGCCCTATGTAATCCCTTAAAGGGAAGTAGGGCCAAGTATGGCCCTCGTTCCCTCATTCCCTACTAAGGGTTTAGGGTTTAGGGTTTAGGGTTTAGGGTTTAGGGTTTAGGGTTTAGGGTTTAGGGTTTAGGGTTTAGGGTTTAGGGTTTAGGGTTTAGGACCAGGGACTTGTTGAAACTGCGCAGGTTTCCCTTCAAGACCGTTCCGCTGATTTTACTCAGGGCTTAGGCCAATATCTTCGGGGTACAACTTACACCTTTGTTACCCTAAACCCTAAACCCGAAACCCTAAACCCTAAACCCTGAGCCCTAACCCCCCCCCCAGCACCCTCTCGATCTCGAGGCAACTCTCGCCGTGCCAGCGGGCATCGTCGGAGCGAAGCGCCTGGGCTTGAGGAGTCATAGGGTTTAGGGTTTAGGGTTAAGGGTTTAGGGTTTAGGGTTTAGGGTTTAGGGCTTAGGGTTTAGGGTTTAGGGTTTCGGGTTTCTCTCCCGCAGCCCCCTCACGAAGCCATGGGATATGCCACCCGCACCACGGGGAGCCCAAAGTTTCCGAACATCCCGCCACGAAGCGGAACCTGAACCGGGAAAGGTGCGCGAAATGCCTCTCTCCTCGGCTCTCTCTCTTCGCACAAGCAGAAGCCGTCTTGTCCACAGATTGCTGGCCCTCAAAAGAGGCCTTTGGTTAACCCTAGACCCTAAACCCTCTAAACCCTAAACCCTCTCAACCCTAAACCCTCTCAACCCTAAACCCCCTAAACCCTAAACCCTAAACCCTAAACCCTAAACCCTAAACCCTAAACCCTAAACCCTAAACCCTAAACCCTAAACCCTAAACCCTAAACCCTAAACCCTAAACCCTTCCCCGAGGCGCCTCTGCGACCTTGGCAAAGGGCAGCTTCTCCGCCAGGGAGTCGAGCCAGCGGGCTTCCAGGGCCTCCAAAAGGCGACTTGGAGGTTCAGGGTTTAGGGTTTAGGGTTTAAGGTTAGGGTTTAGGGTTTAGGGTTTAGGGTTGGGTTTAGGGTTTAGGGTTTAGGGTTTAGGGCTTAGGGCTTAGGGCTTAGGGTTTAGGGCTTAGGGCTTAGGGCTTAGGGTTTAGGGTACTTGGTAGCCAGTTATAACTGTACTTCTAATCCACTTATGAGCCCCTTAAGTGCCCTAAATGGGTTATGCGTACAGTTATATCTGGGCAAATAAGTACCACGAACCTCCAAGGAGAGGCTTTTGAGGCTTGTTCGCGCGACGCCGTGGATGCTCAGCCAAAGATACTTCTTGGGATTCAGGCGTTTCCGACATTAGGGGTGCCTTATTGGGGTCCTTATCATAAGGGAGTCCGACTATTTGGGGTCTATATCGGGGATCCCGTTTTCGTTTTTCGTGTGGGGTTCGCAGATGTGCAGTTGGGCATGAGGCACCAAAGAGCCGGGCGCGCACTCTTGGTCTTGCATTCGGCCGCCTAAAGCCCTCAAAGGAGGCATCTTATGCCCTGAACCCTAAACGCTAAACCCTAAACCCCAAACCCTTAACCCTAAACCCCAAACCCTAAACCCTAAACCCTAAAACCCCAAACCCTAAACCCTTTGTGCGGGGGGGGGGGGGGGGGGGAGCGTGACACCGCAGCCTTGGGCATGGTGTGTCCTCTACTTCTTGCTGGTGTGGAAGGTGCTTCATGTTCGGGGTTTAGGGGTTTAGGGGTTTAGGGGTTTAGGGGTTTAGGGGTTTAGGGGTTTAGGGGTTTAGGAGTTTAGGGGTTTAGGGGTTTAGGGGTTTAGGGGTTTAGGGGTTTAGGGGTTTAGGGGTTTAGGGGTTTAGGGGTTTAGGGGTTTAGGGGTTTAGGGGTTTAGGGGTTTAGGGGTTTAGGGGTTTAGGGGTTTAGGGGTTTAGGGGTTTAGGGGTTTAGGGTTTAGGGTTTAGGGTTTAGGGCTTAGGGGCTAGGGTTTAGGGTTTAGGGTCTAGGGTTTGCGAAATACCAACTTGCGAGTCAACAAGTTTGGGAGCAAGGGTTCAGAGATTAGGGATTGGTGTTCGGGCTTTAGGATTTAGGGTCGAAGGCTTGCACACTTTGGGCTTGTGGTGTAGAGTTTAGGCCCCAAGCATCTTCTTGAGATGAAAACACACCAACTGCCAACTTTCCAAGGCTTGCTGGCTCCGAAGATTCAAACAGCCAGCAGCCCAAGACACGAAGAAAGATCAGAGCTATTCAGACGGCTTCTTGCGGAGGCTGAACGACGTGGCGCCAAGCTAGGGACCCGAGACTACTACCACAGGGAACCCATCCCTTTCCCAAAGTGTCAAAGCTGCGATATGAAGTAGGGTTTATATTCCTTGTACCCCCAAAAATGACACCCTATTTCTACACCCACCAATGCTAAAAAAGGAACCATATTATATACATTCACCAATAGCAGCAATCTAAACGCTGCTTCCTGTCACCTTCTTGCCAGACACTGCCTCCACGCGTGCCGAAGCTGCGGCAAGGGCCTGGCACGCAAGCACGCACAACGTCACATAGGGGCCTGAATGATTAGAATAAGGTTTTGGGGCTTTATTGTAGTATAGAAATAATGGGACCCTAAGGAAATACTACTAGTGTTTTTTTCCGACCCCTATAGCGTGGCGTCAAAGCCTCAGGAAATGACCAATTCCACCTATATGAAGGTCCCAGCCTCAGGAAATGACCAATTACACCTATATGAAGGCCCCAGCCTAGGAAATGACCAATTCCACCTATATGAAGGTCGCAGGCTCAGGATTCAGGGTGACTTACAGAAGGTGCCATAGGTTTAGGGTTTAGGGTTTAGGGTTTAGGGTTTAGGGTTTACCCTTGAGCCTTTAACCAGTAAATGCCGCAAACCCTGAGCCATAACCCTAAACCCTGAACCCTAAACCCTAAATCCTACACCCTAAACCCTGAACCCCAACCCTAAACCTAAACCCTAGCCCACTAAAGACCCACAGGGAAGCGCAAAGGGAAGCGCTGCCGCCTTGTCCAGTTCCGCAGCCAGGGTCTGCAGGTCCTGAAAAGCAGCCCGGGGTTTAGGGTTTAGGGTTTAGGGTTTAGGGTTTAGGGTTTAGGGTTTGGGGTTTAGGGTTTAGGGTTTAGGGTTCAGGGTTCAGGGTTTAGGGTTTAGGGGTTAGGGGTTAGGCAGCGGTTTAGGGGGGAAAGTTGTGGAGGGCTCAGGGTGGGCTCGCCCTCTTCAGGTCAAGCAACTTGTAATACTTAATGGACGGAAACGGATCAGTGTGCAAAACCCTCAACACCCCGAAGCACCTTCCAACATTTGCCCCGCTGATCCCAGAAGTCTGCGATAACATGACCCGCTTCGACTGAGCAAGGTACTTCATCCTTTGGGGAAGCCCTAAACCCTAAACCCTAAACCCTAAACCCTAAACCCCCTTAACCCTAAACCCTAAACCCTAAACCCAACCCTCAACCCTCAACCCTGAACCCCATGCGGCTCCGGGCCTGCTCCTGCGCCTCAGACACCTAAGAGGTGGAGATCTTTGGGACATCAGGGGGAAAGTCACGCGGTTGGAGGAAATCTCAAGGTGTTTAGGGTTTAGGGTTTAGGGTTTAGGGTTTAGGGTTTAGGGTTTAGGGTTTAGGGTTTAGGGTGTTGGATTTTCCGGCTCAGGATTTGGCGTTGAATTACTAGACCCAAGAGCAACCTAAGAATAATAAAGGCAACCCTAAACCCTAAACCCTAAACCCTTAACCCTTAACCCCTACCCCTAAACCCCTACCCCTCTTACCTCCCTGCTTAAAATTCCGCGCAGCGGCAGGCGCCGCCACTGAGGAGGCTGGAGACGCAGAGGGCGACACAGAGGCCGAGGCAGAAGCGCCTGAGCTCAGGGTTTGGCGTTTAGGGTTTAGGGTTTGGGGTTTGGGGTTTGGGGTTTAGGGTTTGGGGTTTGGGGTTTAGGGTTTAGGGTTTGGGGTTTGGGGTTTGGGGTTTGGGGTTTGGGGTTTGTGGCTTAGGATTGGGGCTTTCGGTCAAATCTGAGGGTCAGTGGAGGGCATGGGGCCCTGAGACATGCAGGGCAGGGCAGCTTGGCAAACAAAACGGCTGCGTTGCGCAGCCTCCAGCTTCTTAGTTGTCCAGTACCTAGGGGTTTTAAAGGTTAACCTTTGGGATTCTAAGGGGAATATACTAACCCAAAAAGGTTAAAGGTTACCTACTCTACTACTAAGGCTTTCTCTGTGTCGGCCATGTCGGTGGACAGGTGCCGGGCATGCCGCTCGACCCGTCGAAAATAAACCCCGGGGCATCACATCTCACATCTGTGCTACTGCCATCCCAAGCGGACGGGCCCTTTTGCCTGTACATTTTTTGTGGTCCCGGGGGAGTTCGCAGAGTGACCCGACGTTTGTGTCAGATCATGATCTGCTGAACTGGATTCCCTGCGATGCAGGATAAGTCCATGCAATACCTCGGCCCGGCGCTGTCGGGCAAGTAGCTTCCCAGATGCGTTCCGCAAGAGGAGTAGACGAAGCCATCCTTGTCAACTGTCACATGCTCAGAGAACACCTCTTCCTTGCGAAATGACGGCCAGCCATGCTCGTCCGTGTCGGCTTTGAAATCGGCCATGCTCCTGCACCAGCATGTGGCTAGTGCACAAAAATCTCAAAACCCTGGCAAGCCGCCAACCAACCATGCCAAAAATGCTCAAGCTGGGCGCCCAGTCCTGTTCACCGGAGCCTGCCCGTGAACATGTGAAGGCTCATGAGGGCACATGGCTGACATGCATGCGTCGGACCAGCCGCGACCCTCGCAAACCCCAAAACCTTCAAGTGCCCCAAGCCCGGAAACCCTAAACCCCCTAAACCCTAAACCCTGAACCCTAAACCCTAAACCCTAAACCCTAAACCCCCTAAACCCTAAACCCTAAAACCCAAACCTTGGACCGTGGCCTTGAAGAGGGGAACCCCACAGGCCGAGTCGTAGAAGGTCGTGGTTCCCGAAAGCTTGTCGAACAGCGCGATGTCCGGGGCTTGGTACAGAAACTGGGGCTCTGCGTACACCTTAGGGTTTAGGGTTTAGGGCTTAGGGTTTAGGGTTTCGGGTTTCGGGTTTCGGGTTTCGGGTTTAGGGGGGCTCTGCGTACACCTGCACTTGGTGGTTCATGGTACGTATTGACCCAATGATAACTGTACGTGTAACCAATTATAACCTCAGGGGCTCATGAGTGGGTTATAAGCACAGAAACCCCAAACCCTAAGCCCTGAACCCCGAACCCTGAACCCTGAACCCTGAACCCTGAACCCTAACAGTTATAATTGGTTACTAAGTACCATAAACCTCCCAGCAGTGCAAGGTTACGGGTTGTGTGGCTTAGGGTTCAAGGGTTTAGGGTTTAGGGTTTAGGGCTTAGGGTTTAGGGTTTAGGGCTTAGGGCTTAGGGTTTAGGGTTTAGGTTTAGGGTTTAGGGTTTAGGGTTTAGGGTTTAGGGTTTGGGGTTTGGGGTTTAGGGCTTAGGTTTAGGGTTTAGGGTCTAGGCTTCAAGGATTCATGCTTGCTGGGAGGCAAGCGTCTCTTGCCAGGGGGAGTTGAGATCTGGAGCTGACACTTCAGGGTGCAGGTTGTATCTCGAATTCTGAACCTTGGGATGCACCCCCTTGTACTTGTAGCCCTTAATAGGGATCATAGTACGCCCCTACTATAATCCCTATAAAGGACTGTTCGTTCGTTTAAGGGCGAGCATCCCAACCCTAAACCCTAAGCCCTAAGCCCTAAACCCTAAACCCTAAGCCCTAAGCCCTAAGCCCCAAACTTAAACCCCTTGCCTTCGTGCGGTTGTCGCAGCAAACGGCTTGCGCAAGGCTCTCCGAGGGATCCTCCATGCATTCATAGGGTTTAGGGTTTAGGGTTTAGGGTTTAGGGTTTAGGGTTTAGGGTTTGGGGTTTAGGGTTTAGGGTTTCCACACTGCCAAAACTGGGATTCAGAACCGGGGGAACCATAAAGAATCAAAGCCCGGTAAGCCTGGCCCCAGACTCTGAAAGCTTGATTGAGGGCTCTGGGATTCTGGGATTGTCAAGGTGGTTTCAGGGTGTGAGGTGTCCTAAACCCTAAACCCTAAACCCTCAACCCTAAACCCTAAACCCTCAACCCTAAACCCTAAACCCCCCCGTTTTCGAGCTTTCTTTGCCCAGCGTCCACCGGGACTGGCACAGTGGGCTCAGTGCGGCTGGAGATGTTGTACCGCAGCTGGCGCCTTGGGTGGAAAATTTTGGGAAAATTAGGGTTTAGGGTTCAGGGTTGAGGCTTGAGGGTGGAGGGTTGAGGGTTGAGGGTTTAGGGTTTAGGGTTTAGGGCTAGGTAGCCAGAATAAGGGGCTACTATACCCCCAAATGGGAAGCTGTAGCCCATAATTATAGTCTACTGGCTTTCCAGGTAGGGCCTACATCTCGGACCCCTCTCTATCCCACATGCTTGATCTCTCCCTCTCGATGGCGAACGACAAGTCACATTCGGACTACCTGTCAGCAACCCTACTGGATGTGACAGCACTTGTAGAGTGAGACAGGTAAAAGCGGAAAGCGGTGGGCGGCCGACGGGATGAAGTGGTGCTTGAGGAAAGCGACTGTGTGGTTGCAGTTGGGAACACCGAGGCAGAGATCATCAGACAAACTGGCGCAAGAGACGTGGGAATGGAAGACCAGAAGAAGACTTCCAACCCAAATGGACTACCTTCTCGGTACTATCAGCGCTGTGGCCGTCCGTTTAAAGAAACAAATGTGTACATATAGGTATATACAGACATACCATAAGGACATTGGGCATCACAGACGGCAACGGACCAACATAAGACAGGAAAGATGAGCAAGAATCAAGGGCTGAACATGTACTGCAGACCCACAATGTCAAAGCGGGAGCTACACCCACAAGGCTGCCAAAGAACTGAAGTGGCGAACAAAGTCCAGCTCGCTAGGGCGCAATCGCCGAACTAGACGTAGTCCACGACATAGACATAGAGTACACCGCATAGAGATACGCGCTGGGTTGCAACCCAGGAAAGGTAATCCGAAATCAAACTTCCATGGCGCCCTAAGTCCCGGGAGGACCGATCTAGTTGGGCCCCCTTCTGTCTTGGGACAGAACCTATGCTTAAACTCTAAAACCTCAAAACTGGCTCTATGGCCAGATAATGCCAGGCTGCTGGACGGGACTGCGGCAGCTGTTGAAGGGCGGGGGAACCGCCTCCAGGAACCCCCAACCCAAGCTGAATACAATCCAGGTCGCAGGGCTTGGGCTGATAGTTCCCAAAAAGCCCCCACAGTAGGGTTTAGGGCTGAGGGGTTGAGGGTTGAGGGCTATAAGGGCTTGGGGCTCCAGAGTTTGAACTTCAGGCAGCCCTGTATCCTTGCTGACCATCCCGGGGCAAAGCTGAGCACTGCCTCCAGGGAAGCGGCGGCGGATGTCGAGCGGGCTGAGATGGACCGGACCTGGGGGAATGATCTCGGGGATTGCGGTTGGGGGCTTCGGGTTTTGTAAAGGTCGTCTGGGGGTTGATAGGGTTCAAGCCCATAAACCAATAGTAGAAACCTTTGTAGGCTTCAGCTTTTCGGGTTCCACATGTTTAGTTTAGGTCAAGACCTTCGAACCCTGAACCCGGAAAATGCCTGACCCGAAGCCTGAAGCACTCAAGCCAAAAGCCCTGAAGCCTACCCTAAACCCTAAACCCTAAACCCTAAACCCTAAACCCTAAACCCTAAACCCTAAACCCTAGTGGGTGCCCCAAACTCTCCAAGCTCAGTTGATGTCCCACTGCCTCCAAGTGAATCCGTCCGAGTGCTCCTGCGATGTCCGCAGGGTGTTGCTGCAAGGAGTCTAAACCCTAAACCCTAAACCCTAAACTCCAAACCGCGGCGAACTTCCGCACAGTTCTCGACTTCACAGGCCTTCCGCCCACACCTCGAGGCGCTTGATCGCCGACAGGCGCTGGGCCGTGGGGCAGACGGATGCATCCTGCCACGGGAAAATTCTTTGGGGGAGGGGGGCGGGGGGAGTTGCAAAAAGTTCCCGATGTTTCGAAGTTCGAGGGTTCCGGGCGGCCACCCGAAAACCCTAAACCTTAAACCCTACAGCCTAGACCCTAAAACCCAAAACCCTAAACCCTGCAGAATCTCAGGTTCTCCTCGGCGCAAGTTGCCGTCTGCTCACCGGTGGCCGGGCTCCACTTGTCACTGAAGGCGCTGAAGGGGATGCCTCGGCTCCCTTATTTAGGGTTTGGGGTTTGGGGTTTGGGGTTTAGGGTTTAGGGTTTAGGGTTTAGGGTTTAGGGTTTAGGGTTTAGGGTTTAGGGTTTAGGGTTTAGGGTTTAGGGTTTAGGGTTTAGGGTTTAGGGTTTAGGGTTTAGGGTTTAGGGTTTAGGGTTTAGGTGTAGGGTTTAGGGTTTAGGGTTTAGGGTTTAGGGTTTAGGGTTTAGGGTTTAGGGTTTAGGGTTTAGGGTTTAGGGTTTAGGGTTTAGGGTTTAGGGTTTAGGGTTTAGGGCTAGGGATGGCCCTTAAACCCCTCTGAACATGTTCCTGAATACGATCCCCTAAAACCCAACAAGGGAAATCACAAGATGTCCCTAAGGCCTACCTAGTTCTGGTTTGAGGCTGTGGAGGCCACAGGGCTGAGGGCTTAGGTGCGGGGAGGGGGCAGGAAGATGAACCTCGCCATCAAGGACCCGATTAGCGCACGTCCCATGACACCCCCCTTTACACCCCAAACCCTAAAACCTAAACCCTAAACCCCAAAACCCTCAACCCTCAAACCCTCAAACCCTCAAACCCTCAAACCCTCCAACCCTCAAACCCTAAAACCCTCAAACCCTAAACCCTAAAACCCTAAACCCTACTGTAAAACCCTGAACCCTAAACTCAGCTTCTGGTAGTACCTGGTAGGCCAGGCACGCACCTCCGTGAAGTTGCCGCCGCTGGGCACCTGGAACTTTGCCTGTGGAGGGTCGGCGACATCCAGTGCCCCTCTGCCATGCGCCCGTTCGGCTGTCTCATATTTAGGGTTTAGGGTTTAGGGTTTAGATGGGTTTAGGGTTTAGCGTTTAGAGGTTTGGGGCTTCTCGCTTAGCATAGTGTCATATGTCGTATGTGTGTGTGTGTATTTGGCTTGAATTCTTACCCCTTTTCCCAACAGGTTTCATGGGTCGCTCACCAGATGCTGCTTACATTTCGGCGAACAAAAACGATACAGTACGGAAGGTCGCTTACAAGACTGTTTATTTGTTGGTGACCAAAAGACGAGATTACGACGTTTGAATTCGCCATGAAGAAATACATAACAATACTGAGAGCACCAGCTTGAATATCATGCCCGAACGAAGGAAGAAACCGAAGTGAAACTGCGAAACTTGGATTGCGGCGAAAACCCAAAGTGGTGACTGGCCTTGTAGCAGCCGCGGCTCATGGGAATGGAGCCCCCGCCGGAACAGGCGTAGCTCGGGGCAAGGGTGCCTCCCAACTTTCCCCCCTCATTCACGCTGACAGCGAAGCCCTGAACCGACAAACCACTCACGGATGTCACAAAACACGATGTTCGCTCTTACTCCACTTGTCCCAACTCTCTCTCTCTCTCTCTCTCTCTCTCTCTCTTTCTCTCTGGATCTCACCTCTCTCGGGGGCGTTGTAGGGCTTGCACAGAAGCCGAGAATCCATATGGTTTTAGGGTCAGCAGCCCGAATCTAAACCCTCGCCCGGAACCCACGCGACTTAAACCCCAGGCCCCAAACCCCCCAAAAGAAAGGGCGACCCCCAAAAATGGCTGCTGACACCCCTAAAGCCAAACCCGCCTGAGGCAAAAGAGACCCGGAAGCCCTGGTACTCGGGCGTGGAGCTGCGTACCTGTCGCTTGGGTTTGGGGTTCAGGGTGAGCTGCTATGAGGAGTCCGGGGCTGAGGGGTTACCCTAAACCCTAAACCTTAAACCCTAAACCCCTTTGGGGGGGGGGGGTGGGCCAAAAGAAGCCCTTGATTGGTGCAGTCCCATGGGTCTCTCACCGATGCTCCTGGCTGGGTAAGGTGCAGGAGTGATTAAAGCGTTGAGGGCTTGAACCCCTTCAATCCCAAAACCCTAGGCTTCACTGGCACTACTGCGCCACGCATGTCGGGAGAGCTCTCTGCAGCCCCCTGGCCCTGCCTGCAAGACCAAGTCGCCACTCCTTGGCAGAGCTCAGGGTTTAGGGCTCAGGGTCTACGCACAGTCGGCCTGTTCTGACCCCTGCACCCCCCCGAGCCCCGAAGCCCCCCGAAAAGCCTCAAGACACCCAAAAACCTTAAGGCTCAAGCCATCAAGCCACCGACCTGCAGTTCGAGGTTCGGATGCTCCAGGGATTCAAGCCCTAAACGCCAAACCCCCTAAACCCCAAGCCCTAAGCCCTAAGCCCTAAACCCTAAACCCTAAACCCTAAACCCTAACCCCTAACCCCTAAACCCTAAACCCCAAACCCTAAACCCTAAACCCTAAACCCTAAACCCCAGAGGTTTCGGGGCTTCTGGCTTCAATCCTTCTGCCGGGCGGCGCTGCCGAGGATGCGTCGGGGAAGGTGCCGTCAGCCGCGGCTTTGATGAAGCCCGGGGCCTTCAGGCTGGGCACGTCGACCACCTCGTGGTTCGGCTGGCTCAGGGTTTAGGGTTTAGGGTTTAGGGTTCAGGGTTCAGGGTTCAGGGTTCAGGGTTTTGGGTTGAGGGTTTAGCTCTTAGCATTTCCTTAGTTTTTTCGTGAACATTTCTGTTTGCAGCTCCTGGGCTTTTTGTCTGAGCACATACTGGCTCATACAAGGTTAAAGCACCAAACACGGACGTCCTGCTGGAAAGGTGTTGCTGCTGTTGCGGTTGCTTTGGGGAATCATCACATGGCGGACAGGGTGGCGATTTTCGCACATGGTGGAACCAGCCACAGACGCTGTGCTGTGCGGCCTTGTTACAGCCCTGGGTACACGCATGAAACCTATCCTTTTGCTTTAATTATCAAGCTGAAACAAGTGGCGGAAGGTGTGGCAGATAGAGCTGATGAGTCAGATGAGACAGAGCTGCACCACGATGCTTTTAAAGCCCCCAAACCCAGCATCGAAACCCGCAACCCTCGGGGCTGGTCGACTCTGTTCTGAAGGCATCAAGTGAGCAAGTCCGAAAGATGGGGCCGCACGGCTGAGTGAGCTGAAGGCTGAAGAAATCTGGGCATTTCCCAAAATAGGGGTACCCCTTTTAAAGGGACCCCCCAAAAAGGGCACCCTCTACTTTCGGAAACCCCCATCTCTTGGCGGGTTTTTCTCCGACCCGGCCTGACCGTCGAAGATGCCGAAGCCTCCGCTGTCCACGCGCCAGGTGCCCGTGGACTGTCCACCCATCACCGGGTCATTGAGCTCCTCAGGGTTTGGTCTTGTTCGGGTGTGGGGCCCATTTTATGCCACACCCGAATCCCCTAAACCCAAGCCCTAAAAAGAATGTAGTCCCCGCACCCCCTGAACCCTGAACGTGCGCCTTGAACTCAAAGGTGGTGCCCGGCTTTCCTGCAGAGATGCCCCAAGAGCCGATCGTGTTTCAGGGAGATTGACTGTTGAGAGCGTTGGGGCTGGCCGGGACGGATTTTGGTGTCTGTTCTAATGTGATTTTAGAGACTGTGGTGGCTAGCTAGGCGAAAGGATTTGGAGGATCGCGGGCTTGGGAGCAGGCCACGAAAGCCAGGAGCCAAAACCATGACTAAGCTCGGCGTTACCAGGCGAACGCTCAACACAAACACCTCAACACGCGCCCAGCCAACACAGCGGAGCCAACACAAAGGGTGAAGGGTGGAGGGTGGAGGGAGGGTTTCATTTCGGGGGAGCTTCCTTCCCTGAAAGCCCCAAAAGCCCCAAGGCCACTTTACGCATCCATCTGAGGCAACACAAGACATGGTTTAGCTGTAGGGTTAGGGTTTAGGGTTTAGGGTTTAGGGTTTAGGGTTTAGGGTTTAGGGTTTAGGGTTTAGGGTTTAGGGTTTAGGGTTTAGGGTTTAGGGTTTAATGTGAGAGTCCCATTTATAAATGGGGTGGTAATAGCACAATTCGCCGGGCCAGAGGGGTCCAGCCGAAGACTACTTTCCATTACGGGAGGTTTTCGGGCCGATGTATGTAAACAAGTCTATATAGGGGGGTGCGGTGATAATAATAAAGGGTGGTAATAGCAAAATTTTTCCGGCCTGGAATTGAAAATTTTACTGAGAATCGCTCAAGAGTTCCATTGCAGAGAAGACTTTTCAGCTGAGCTGGCTTGAAAGAGCTCCGAGGCTCAGCCTTTAGAGAAGCAGATCTCGTCTGAGAGTGCTTGTCTTCTAAGATTGCTGCAGCTCCAGAGCTGCGAGAAACTGCTGTTTCAGGGCTGTTTCTTCAGAGAAAGCAGGTATCAGGTGTCTTTTGAGATTGCTGCAGCTCCCAGAGGCTGAGAAAGAGAGCCTTGCTACGGAGGCCTCTGCTCTCAGAGCAGCACAGAAGCCGTGAAAGACTTACGGTTGCAGCTCCAGAGCTGCGAGAAACTGCTGTTTCAGGGCTGCTCCCTGAAGCTTAAGACTTCAGCCTTCGTGTCCTGGTCTAAGTCTCGCTTAAGACTTCAGCCTTCGGGTCCTGGAATTCAGGAAACCGGCAGAGGTCTGAAAGCTAGGTTTCCTTACTAAAATCCTTATCCGCCGGAGCTCGAAAACAAGTCCGGCAAGGGTACCCCTTACGGGCCTCCAAAATGACAATAATAAAGGGTGGCAATAATAAATTCGGCGAGGGAGGGGGGGGAACCAAGAAGCCTTAAGTATAAATGGCTTCCTGTAATTAAGTCTCAAGACAGGAGTCCCTTAAGATTAAGACTTCAGCCTTCGGGCCCTGGTCTAAGTCTCAAGACAAGAACCCCTGAAGCTTAAGACTTCAGCCTTCGGATCCTGGAATTCAGGAAACCGCCAGAGATCTGAGAGCAGGGTTTCCTTACCTAGAACCTCTTCAACAGATTGAGCTTCATCTCTCAAGCAAGAAGCACACAGAGAAGCTAAGCTGCCTCCAGACTGGTCTGCTGGGTCTGCTCTGACAGATGACCCCCCCCCAGACCCCCAGACCCCCAGACCCCCAGAATTCATTATTGGCACCCCGTCTTTTTTTCCACTCCAAACCCCGGGGACCAAAACAAGATTTGGGGGGGGGGTTTATTAAAGGGACCCTAACATTAGGGTTTAGGGTTACAAACGCTGCAAGGAGCCTTGTAACTAGCCCATGACTCCATGACCCTCTAGCGGATTGCAACAGCCCGGCGTCCGTCAAATGTGGCAAGCGAGACATCCGCGCCGATCGCGCCGACCACTAGGGTCGCAGCTGCTAGCACAGTCGCCATGGGTGCACAAGGAGAGCTTGGGGCTGCGCTCTTCCTGTCTTGAGTCAAGCTCGCGGATGCGGCTTTGAGGTACGGGCTGAACCTCAGCTTTCGAATATCTAACCCATCTAACTCCTACTGAAAGTGGCTCCCAAGCCATGCTTGGAGCCCATGAAAACGCGTGTCATCATGATTCCTGCTTGTTTGCCCCCTCACGCGCCATACAAATGACGACCTCAAGGAAGCCCTCAGCCCCTAAACCCTTAAAGCCCTAAAGCCCTGAAGCCCGGAAACCCCCCAACCCCCTAAACCCTAGACCCTAAACCCTACCCTAAACCCTAAACTCACCCCCCAATCCCAATCCCTGGCCCTTTCTAGAGCAGCTCCAAGGCTTCCGCTGTCCCGCGAAGGCGGCTGGAAGGGAACTCGCTCGAGGGAGTCCCTGGATTTGGGGGGGGGGGGGGGCTCACGATATTTAGGGAACGAACGGCTCACGCGCTTGCGGGGTTCGAGGGGGGTTGAAAGCTCGGGTGCAAGGCTGTAGATGAAGGGTGAGCAGGGTCGCGGCAGGAGGAGGACAGCAAAGGGCAGTAGCCGCTACCGTACACAAAGTGTGGGAAGGGGGAACCAGGAAGGGGAGCAGATCTGTCCAGAACGTAAGGCCTGGAAGCAATCCTGCAAGCAACCTGGTTCGACAAGGGAGGAAGGCAAACAGGCCAGTCCTTCCCTCCTTCCCTCCTTCCCTCCTTCCCTCCTTCCCTCCTTCCCTCCTTCCCTCCTTCCCTCCCTCCTTTCCTCTCCGGCCATCCTTTCCTCTCCGGCCCTCCTTCCCACCTTACCCCATGATGGGCTTTCGGGGCGGCTGCGAGATGCCACATCCGTGTCGGATTACGTAACCGCGCGTTGCCTTAAGCCCTCGACCCGAGGTCATCCCGGGCTGGCATTCAGCGTCTCGACTTCGAGTTCCACCCAACACGGCAGTACAAGCTCTGCTGTATGGTCTGCAACACTTTTGCAACGCGTGTCATGCAGGTGTACGAGGTGGCTTCGGTGGCGTGCACCCCTGCATCAACGGGAGGCAATGTGCGGTCTCGCCTTAGCGGGGCCCTGGCCAGGGTGTCTGATTACCTGCCCTACACGCGAAGGGCTTGAGGGCCTTTCCTTGAGGTGGGTGGTGTGAGGGCAGTATGTCCCAGTGTTGAGTCCACACACACACACACACAGACACACTCACACACACCCCGGGATCTGCCAAATTTGCGCGATGCATCAGGTCCATGCAGCAGCTTACGTGAAGTAACGCAACTTAGTTGTGATTGAATGAAGGTTCTGCAAAGTTCAGCAGCCTATGTTGGGATGTTCCCCCCGTATACGAACAGTGCTCAATAGGGATTGATAGCACCCCCTATGATAATCCTTGTTAAGGACTGGTAGTATAAGGGGGAGCATCCCAAACCCTACGTTTCTACGGTTTTGGGGTGCTTAGTGAGGGGGATCGGCGGCCTCTTGCTGCTCTTCTCATTCTTCTCGCCCTTCGCGTCACCTGCAAAGAGCCAGGGAATTTGGGGTTGATGTAGGGTTCAGGGTCCCCACAAAGGCTAAACCCGAAACTCGAAAACCGAAACCCCAAGAGCCCAGGTGCTGAAAGCTCCGCATGGGCCCGCGTCGATTCTTGTAGAAATGCGGCGTTGGGTGGCTCGCGCTTCAGGGTCTTTGGTGCTGGGTTTAGGGCTTGAGGCTCGGTTCAATTCCGGCTGAGTGTTCAGCTGTTCTTTGCGGTTCGGCTACTAGTGACTTTGGGGCCTCCCGCAAAAAGTACTTTCGCGGGAGGTGCATCTTGGGGGGCCTTGGCAACAAGACATCCACCCTCCATTTCAGCACTGGAGCTTCGGCTTGCAGTGAAGAGCCTTGGGGTGTTTACGCCGAATTCTGGGGCACCCCGAAGGAATGACCCTAAACCCTAAACCCGAAACCCTAAACCCTATGAACCTAGGGCTCTTCGTGGGTCCACCATAAGCCCCAACTCCGACCCCGTGCGATCCTAAGAACTTCAGGCCCTCATCGTCACCGCGGCCGATCCAGCGAAATCCCGTTAAACAAAACATACCACAAAAAAAACAAAAAGAACAACAATAATGATAACAACAACAAATAACGAAAAATGTCACAAAAGCCACTAAATCAGGCTTGGAGAACAGCAAACCACATGGCCGTTACCAAGCATTAGATACATTCGACAAAAGGAACGAACATATGTTCCCCCTTGTACTGTGATAGGGATGATAGTACCCCCCTACAGTAATCCCTGTTAAGGACTGTGAGTATAAAAGGGGGAACAAGAAAGTCAGCAGTTGGGCAGCTGGGGGCAGGGCCCTCTTGTGCGGCCTCAGCCTTGGCCACCCCAAGGCGAGTAGGGTTGAGGGTTGAGGGTTGAGGGCTGAGGGCTGAGGCTTGAGGCTTGAGGCTTGAGGCTTGCGGGCTGAGGGCTGAGGGCTGAGGGTTGAGGGCTGAGGGCTGAGGGCTGAGGGCTGAGGGCTGAGGGCTGAGGGCTGAGGGTTGAGGGTTGAGGGTTGAGGGTTGAGGGTTTAGGGTGGTGTCTCGGGCTCTTGGGGGAGGGGGTGCCTTTTCGGGCTCTTTGCTGGTGGGCCTTCTGAAACGAGTTTGGGGCTGTGAAGGCAATTTTGGCCTTCTGAAACCAATTTGAGCCCTCTGAAGCCAATTCGGGCTGCCGTAGGGCTTAGGTGTCGACGAGGTTGGGACCTAGGGGCCTTCTGGGAGGTTGCTGTTGAGTGTCGGAGATCCTGGACGCTTCAAGCCACACCACTAAACTCATGAACTCCTAAACTTGGAGTGTTCGCCCTTATACAGCAATCCTTAAAAGGGAGTATACATAAGCTTGAGGGCTGTTAGTATAAGGGGCAACATCCCAAGCCTAAACGCAAAACCACAAATCAATCCTTGAACTTCTCAGGGCTGACAGGCGCCGGTCATGCTAAAGACGCCCACGCCTCGGGCGCGGAACCTTAAGCCAAAACCCTTTAAATACTAACTCTCCTCAACCCTAAGCCCTAAACCCCTAAACCCCTAAACCCCTAAACCCCTAAACCCCTAAACCCCTAAACCCCTAAACCCCTAAACCCCTAAACCCCTAAACCCTAAACCCTAAACCCCTAAACCCCAAACCCTAAACCCTAAACCCCCCCAAGCCACAAGACTCTCAAGGTGTTCAAGCGTCAGACCTTGGCCTCACGGCGCCGCCGCCTCCTTTCCGCTTTAGCCTGGAACGCGAGGGGTGTTTAGGGTGTTGGGGTTTAGGGTTTAGGGTTTAGGGCTTAGGGGTTTAGGGTTTAGGGGTTTAGGGGTTTGGGGGTTTAGGGGTTTAGGGGTTTAGGGGTTTAGGGGTTTAGGGGTTTAGGGGTTTAGGGGTTTAGGGTTTAGGGGTTTAGGGGTTTAGGGGTTTAGGGGTTTAGGGGTTTAGGGTTAGGATTGAAAGTTGCAGGGTTTCAGGGCTTCAGGGACTGGTTCAGGGCTCAGGGTTTCAGGCTTTTTGGCTTCGGATTTCGGGTTCAGGGCTCGTTTTTTTGAATTTGGGGCGTTGGGTTGTTGTTTCGTGCTGTTGCAAAGCTGGGAGCCCCTCAGAGTTGTTCTGTTGCATCGTTGCCACACCCCTCGCCCTTCTTCCCTTCTTGTGGGCGGCGGGTGGGCAGAACCCCATCACACACGGGGCGTTTTGGGTCAGGACTTCCTTTGCCCCCGAAGCTCACCAACTATCGCCCTGCCCATTCAAAGCCCTGGCTTACCTCCCGTGTCAGATGGTCTCGCTCCCTCGCTGGGTCTTGTTGAGTAGACCCTAGACGAAGGCCTCAACCCGAAAGAGTGTTTAGTTGGAGTGGCTGCAGGGGTGACTCCGTGGCCTAAGCCCCGAACCTTCAAGCCACCAAGCCTCACTAAGCTGTGCAAAGTTGAGAAAGGGCGTAGGGCTCCGGGTTCCTGGAGGGGGTTGCTCGGGCTTAGCGATTGGTTTGACAATTCTTGGGGGTGCCTCGGCGTCAGCATCTGCGGCCGACGAGGGCGACGACGCCAAGGCCGACTGCGCGGGCAGGTGTGGAGGCTTTGCCAAAACGCGACCCGAGCCCTAAACCCTAAACCCTAAACCCTAACCCGTACACCCTGGAAAGTCTGGGCCCTGGCTCGGCAACTCTCAAGAGCGTGGCCCATGGGCCCTGCTTCACTGTTTCATGCACTTCGACTTGAGGCCTAGCAGCTACACATGGAGATCCAGTAGATGACCTGTCCGACACTTCCTATTCTAACTTCGGCTTTCGAGTTTGGGGGTCTACTTCAAATTAGCCGGGCCGATGTCAAGTCAAGCCGAAGCAATGCCAGAACCGCACATGACATGTCCAGAACGTGTCTCAAACTTCAGACCCCTCAACCTTGTATAAAGAAGCTAGGAGTCGAAAGAAGGCTTAGGGTTCGCATCATCTCACCCAAGCCCCTGCCTTGTACTCGAAGGACCCACCAGCCCGCTCTTTGTCCAGGGCCTCTGACAGCCCCAGGCCCTACTGCCTTACGGCCCTCTTCAGCACTTCTTCTGGGGCCTGAGGTCTTCAAGGTGCAGTTGGAGCCACCTCGAGGGTTGACGTGCAGGCGCGTGGCTCCGGGTCATGTGGGCCTTCAGGTTTAGGGGTTCAGGCCTTGGGGCCCCTACTTCATGCATGCTTAGTGAGGGCTGAAGGTGCTCAGGACGTAGGCTTTGGGGTTCAAAGTTGCGGGCTTGGAACTGCAAACCCCAAACCCAGAATCCAATCCTGCGCTGCAACCCCTAAACCCTCAACCCCGGACTCCCTGTATTCAGCCCGAAGTTCGAAACTTCCTAAACCCAAACCCGGAAATCCCTGAAATGCTCGTTTGGGGTTTAGGGTTTAGGGTTTAGGGTTTAGGGTTTAGGGTTCAGGGATTAGGGTTTAGGGCCTCCCAAAAACCCGGAAATCCCTCAAATTCCTTGGTTGCTGCGTGAG